CCGTATCAATATGAGAGAGCTAAGAACTGTAACACTGAAGGGAAAAAGCATGATACAGAATACATGCCTGTAGGTCATATACCAAAGTAACCTCACATTTAGTGGCAGCCAGAAATGTTTATCGTCGTCGTCACAGTCTGTGTGAGCTGGGAGATTAGGAGCTGCTCAGCCGGGAGGTTCAGGCTCCTGAAGAAACAATGGAGATAATAGCTGGAGCTGTAGTCACTGAAGATGGCTCTGAGGCTGGGGAAGCCATTTCTAAGAAGTCTTATTCATCTGCTGCCATGTTGGAGCTCTGAGTTTGTCCCTGTATCAACCTCCTTGGAGCGGCTTGAGGATCCTCAGGACATGGCAGCCCATCCATCACTCCCAGAGTGAGCACTCCCCAAGAGGGCAAAGCAGAAGTGGCCATGTCTTTTATGGCGTAGCCTTAGAAGCTGCACCTCCATCTTCGTCCTCATCTGATTGATTACGAGTGAGTTTGTAAGTTTGGTTCACATTTAGGTAAGGGGAACAGGCACCCAGCTTTCAAAGGAAGGACGGTTTAAAAAGTGGTGGGTTATATCTTATTTTTGAATGTGCGTGGACATGGATTGATACCATTTCTATTATTAAAATGTTCACACGCAGGCCTGGGCCATCAGCCAGAGCTGCCTACCTCGCTGCTATGGGCATGGTTTCGGGGTGAATGCATGCTTAGCTGCTGTGGGTTCTTTTTTTAGGCTTTCTGAACTTTTAAGATATGAACCTTGGATTGCTTGAGCCATTTTGCTTATAAGAAGACAATTTTGGAATAAAAAGAGTAGTGGTGTTGCTGAAGGACACACACAGGGCAGGGAAGGAGAGGGAGAGGGAGGGAGAGGGAGAGGGAGAAGGAGAGGGAGAGGGGGGGGGATCACCTTGGTTAGGATGTGCCTGACTCTTTCTCTGGTCTTTTCAGTAAACAATAGGGTCCCTCAAGAGCTGAGGCTAACACTGACTTGGGCTGCTCATCCCTGAATGGCTGCCATTGCGTACTTCCTGTATGAAATAGTCAAGGTGTTGGATTTCCGGTTCAAGGTAAGAGTGATTGGCAGTTATGCAGGGTGGAGGTCCGCAATGAGATTAACTTCCACTCTGAGTCTCATTTAGAAATGTCTCTTGATTGCGTGGCTGCACCCTCTTCAGCTGTTGGGTGTAGCTCAGCACCCCAGAAGCAACTGCTTAGATAGCTGCTGTGTCCCCCACAGACCCCCGACAGCACGCTCTTCCGGCTTCCCCTATCCGCCACAGTGCTGGTAGAATATGGTTTTGAAAAGGCTGAAGGTTGTATTGTTCCATGCTCAGAAACTGCCCATGACACCAGGTTCTTCAGTCTGGCATCTAAAGCTGTCCATTGTGCAGCCTCAACTTTCTTTTCCAGAACCATACACACACCAATAAAATGCCACACCAACACACACACACACACACACACACACACACACACACACACACACATCAGTACAAACACTACACCAACACACCACATACACACCACATCAACACACACTAAACACACACATCAACACACCACATACACACCAGTACCAACACCACACTAACATATACCACACATACACTACACACACCAATACAAATACCATACCAACACACACTGCATACACATCACACCAACACATACCACACACACACACCAATATAAACACCACCAACACATACCACATACACACTGCACACACTACACACATATACTAACACACATGAACCATATACATACCACACATACCACATACATACACCACACATACAAACATACAATACACATATAAACAATACATATACATCACATACCACATATAAACAACACATATACATCACATACCACATATAACACATAAACATCACACACACCACACTCACACACCAACATATACCACACACACCACACACATACCCACACATACACTAACATACACCACACAATACACGAACAGATATACTACACTGCTGTGGGATTATATGAAAATGTGTTGCTATGATTGATTGATAAATAAAGTGCTGATTGGTCAATAGCCAGGCAGGAAGTATAGTATAAGTGGGACAAGCAGAGAGGAGAATTCAGGGAAGAGGAAGGCTGAGTGAGGAAACTGCCAGCTGCCACAATGAGAAGAAACATGTAAGATACTGGTAAGCCACGGGCCACGTGGCAAGGTATAGATTTATAGAAATGGGTTAATTTAAGATATAAGAACAGTTAGCAAGAAGCCTGCCATGGCCATACAGTTTATAAATAATATAATCATCTGAGTGATTATTTTATATTTGAGCCGCGGGACTGCTGGGGCTTGGCAGAACCCGGAGAGAAATTCAAGCTTCACTACATACATGCCAACACGCAAACACACTCACGCACTTCTTTTCTTCATTAGGTTAGGTTAAGAGGGACAGATGTATCCCTCAGGTAGGTTTGGGTCTGTGACAGCCTCAAAGATGGTCCCCAAGAGTATTGTTGCCTGGTGCTGATGCTCTTGAATAATTCTGCTGTGTTCTTCCATATGGCTAGGTCTGATCTATACAGCCAATCAGACGCCGTGAAAATGGCGGCATGTGTGCCATGTTCCATTCCTGCATCAACTTGGCCTGGCCATGGGGTGCCCAGATATAGGTGAAACATTGTTTCCGGATATGCCTATGTGGATGGGAGATTCCAGATGAGGTTAACATTGGAAACGGTGGGCCCACAGAGTGGAATGCTCTCCCTCACATGAGCAGCTGCAATCTGCTCTACTCAGGACCTTGACACAGGAAAGTCAGGGGAGGGACAAGGGAGACTTGAGGCTCTCTGCCTGTTTGAGATGAGATGTTGCTCTTCTCATCCTCAGCCTGGACTCACAGGGCTAATGTGCCTGCCTTGAACCTAGACTTGGAGGAGAACTCACACCACTGGTGTGGACAGAAGCAATGGTTTTTCCTCAGCGCAGACAGCGGATCGGTGCTTCCAAGCTTGCTGTCACGTGGCATCGTGGGAGCCATTGCTACGCTCCTGCTTTGGTCTTTTGGGGACCAATCATAGAACATTTATCCTTTTGATCTGTTTCTCTTTTTTGCCTCTTACCTTTTTCCTCTGGATTTTAGGAAAGATTTAAATCCATTCATTAGGTTCACCAGCTTGACTGCATTGACTAATCTACTCACTGTAGCTGCTGCTTCTGGGGCTGCATGAGCCCCATCTCCAGGTGTTTCCACAGTCTAGGGATTGCTTTTGAGACAGAGTCCCACTGTGTGGCCCTGGCTGGCCTGGAACTTGATCCGTAGATCACACTGTCCTCAAATTCAGAGAGATCCATCCAGCACTGTCTCCTCAGCGCTGGGGTTAAAGGTGTGCACCACCACACCTAGTGGATTCTTTTCTCGTTAAGAATTGCTTTAGGGATTTAGTAGTCTCACATCTGGGAAGACTACAGTTTAGGTCACCTCACTTAAATACTGTCCTCTGGGCAGGAGCGTGAGGTATCAGGTACATCTGCTCTAATCTTCCATTCAGTGTCCTTTGCCCTGCTTTATAAATGATCCGGTCCTCCTTCTCTGCTTGCTCGTCTTTACAGAAGGAGGCCCGTGTTTGTTCAATGCTGCCTGTTAAGATGGGTTAAACTCTGTTTAAATATTTTTTGCCCTGCAAAGGAATGAGGGAAAGGTTTATATTTGCTGTACTTTCACTTTGCCCTTTTAAAGAGTCAGCAAGCTGCGAGGGGAGGGAGCTTCACACCCGCAGACGCGGGGAGGCCTTTGTGCCGAACGTTCTTTTTCAATCTTCACGATTGTTGAAGGACTCAGATTTAGCTGGAGCAATGGCCCCTTCCTTACCACAGCCAGCTGGCTTTATGGGGGGCCATGCTTTGGGTGGTCCTATTTTGATGACTCCTGGCTTGAAAACACTTAAGCTTTACTTCTCCATAAACTGTACTAGCTGGCCGGGCGGTGGTGGCACACGCCTTTAATCCCAGCACTCGGGAGGCAGAGCCAGGCGGATCTCTGTGAGTTCAAGGCCAGCCTGGGCTACCAAGTGAGC